GCCACTAAAATGCAGGGGTTACTGAGTGTGAGTGAATATGTGAAGAAAAAAATACACTATTAAGAAGAGAGAACAATAAAAAAACACAGTCTACCATTATTCTATACTATAACAACAAGTATCTATAAGCATCCAGCTGAAATGAACTGTAATAGTACATATAACCCTTTCTTTACTAAATTTTATCAGTTTTACGGTAACTCAAATTTAAATTCAGTTTTGTGAGTTATTTACACAATTTAACATATGACACATTTGATAGAGAAGGATTTAAGAAGACTGAATATAACAATTGACATTACATTTAATTTTTTGAAAATCAAAATTGACTGGAAAACAAGAAGATGGATGAGAGTTCAACAAATGAGAAGTATAAGAGATGAAACTGTAAGCATAAAATTTATGGTTACATCTAGCCATCTCAATTGTAAAATGTTGAGACCTTGCTATCAATCAAGTACTATTCTTAAATTCATAAAATCAAGGACCCAAAGATGATTAAAACAATTGCCATAACTTTCTTTGTGATGCCCCATGAAGTGATATTTTTAACCTTCCTAATGAAAATTGTGCCACTGATGTTTCTGGTAAGATTATATTCAGGTTATATGTTAAAGGCATTTTTACTCATTAATATCAGGTTTTGGTCATTTCCATGGAAACCATATGTACTAAAATTTGATCATCTACTGATAAAGAATCACAAAATAAATTACTAATTTCAAAGCATGCTGTTATGATATGGCATATTACTTGGGTTGATTCAATAGTGTTTACTCCTGTAGAGCCACTTAGTAGTATTAGATTCAGTTAGAAACAAAAGTATGTGTTTGACTAACCCCATCTAGGAAGAATTAAATCTATTAAATCTCATCTGTATAATTCAGAATTTATTTCATGCTAATAATTAAAAATATGATTTGTCATCAAAGAATTAGTTTTTTTTTATGAAGTTAACAAGAATTTTATGTCAAAGCACCCCAGTACCTTGTAATAATGAAATGATATTTTAATCAATGGTATTTCATTAAAGATTTACCTTCCTTTAATAGTTTAATTCCCTTGTTCATCATCAGTCTCTTGACCTGGTGTGGTTATAGGGTCATTGTACAGCTGAGACATATCTGTGTTGAAAGAGAGATATTCATTCTTGTGTTGGACAAGTAGATCTGGTGGAGCCCATTCCTCTTCAGATCAAACCACAGCTGATGTTCTCCAAACTGAAGGCTCACTTTGGTCATGGAAGCATGGCTGCTAATTCCATTGGGAAATCATCCCCTCTTGGAATTGATTTTATTCTAGAAAGTCTTCTGCCCAACAATGCTGTGTCATCACTGCACTGTCTGCATACATAGACATGGATCCCAGTCTACTCCATTGTGCTAGATGGATGTTGAGCCTAGAAGGTTCACCTGCCCTTTAACAGGTCTTGTTTTTAATTCTGCTGCGTGTCTAACCACCCTCCTTGCCAGAAAAGCTTGGTGAGAGAACCAGTTTAGTTGTCAAGGAATTTCCCATATGACAGGTCATACTAGGTTTTATTGTACCAGTTACACTCACAGAGTGACCTTTCTAAATTTTTTGACCTTGGAAAGTCTTTCATGCATTTTGATAGCTTTTTCGATGGATGTTACATACTTAGTAGTTAGTTTTCTTCTCCTTCTACTTCTTTTTTTATGAAAACCCCATTTTCACTTTAACTTCTAATTCCTTTTCATATTTACAAATCTTTTTTCTCATGTCTGGGGTCACTAATATAAAAAAAAATAACCTGTAAATCAATGTTCATAAAATTCCATCTTGATTGGCCATATTTGCATGCAATGTAGAAGATCCGCACATCTTAACATCATGTTTTCTAGAGCATAAATACTTCTACCTACACAGGTTGATTAATGGGCTACAAAAATAAATCAGTATATAATCTTAGTGAACTGAACTTAAAGTCAAGACTTTTACAGTTTAGTAAGACTAGATCAGATGATAAGTCTAAAGGAAAGTAAATGTAAATGGGAGACAGAACAAGGAATGAGTTAAATATATCCTACTAATTAAATTCTTGAAGTTATTGCTTATTTTATTTTAATAGATTACTCAAAGTTTTGTGATGCTGAAATCAGTTTACCAATGTTTTTTTTTTCTTTTGAGATGCAATAAATGAATTGAAAACTAAATATAGACATAGATTAATAGCAACCTACTTAAATGTCTCACTGATTCCTAAAGGACATCATAAATCTTATTGCAATTTCATTGATACAATTTATATAAGTGTAAACCTAGCTCAGATTTACTGGAAGTTTTTGTGATAAATTGCTAGTCCTGTGGCACACGCTTACTGTAGTGTGAAATCACAGAGAACTTTGCAAATAGCAAAAACCATATCACTTGAATATTTCCAACAGTAAAAATGTAGCACATATCACTAAAAGAGAAAGTAATATAATCAAACTGTTTGCTTTTCACACTACCAAAAACAAAATGATTGGAAGGAAATTCCCATCAATATTAGAAAGAGCAATAACAGTTAATTTCCTGAAAACTGTTTTAATAAAACAATTTTATAAATTTCAAGCTAACAGTTCAACGAATGAATGCTGAATGTTTTCTGTATAGAAATGGTTAATTTTACCATTAGCATTACCATCAATTATAAGAATTAAAATAAAAAAGTATTAATTATAAATTCTTACTTATATCCTATCAATGCCAACCATTTCATTTTTTGAGACAGTATTAATGGGTTTAAAAACATAAACAGAATTTATTTCGCCAAGAGCTTTTATTAAAACTTTGTAAAATCTCAATACAAGCAGGATTGTATAATTAAAAAAAGTCATCAAATTATTTAAGATGGGGTATAATCATTCGAAAAAATTTTCTCTGAAATTTAAAATGAAAACTTCTTTAAAATAATTTTTGTTCTTTTTTAAATAATTAGGTGTGTGTGATGTGGGGTGATAGATAACAGCTCAGAATGAGAAATCAGAGAATCAAGTTCAAAATCCAGTTTGGTTCATTACATTCACTTACATGCAAACATTCTTGGGAAAGGTAAGAATCCATCTCTTCTCCCCCCCACACCTATGCATTGAATAACAAGACAGACTGTGTACTACAGCTTTGATTGGCAAGCAACCAACTGCAGAAAGAAATGACAACCTACTGTGAGAAAACCTTATGTGTAATCAGTTACAAATCATGACATTATCATCCAAGCATGTATCACCTCTGGCACTTAACTAACAGGTCTGTTAGTTAAGTGCCAGAGGTGATACATGCTTGGATGATCAGTCTACTGAAAATTTGGTGGAGTTGTACAATAGCCACAATGACTAGAAATAATAATTTTATATATATATATATATATATATATATATATATATCCAGTTGCCTTGATCTATCCACTACTCTTCTCCTCATCCTTTCTTCTATCACTCCTATCTGATCTTGCTCCAAATTTTCTGTAACCCCTTGCGTCCTGGTGGCTTTCCGCCTTGCTTGGGGTGAAACGCTTAAAAAAAAATATATATATATACTACAGATCTTGAATATCAAAAAAAAAAAAATTATTAAATTTCATAAAAGTTAATAGAGAGTCCAGTTTGGTATGTAAATTCATTGTAAGTTGATCTCCCTATGGAAGGCAAAACAAAACATGCTCATATGACATGTTTTATTAAAATGTACAAAAGATTTTTTTAAAATTTGAAATTCCTAATCAGGAGTTATTTTTCAGATATTACTAGAGTTTACACACTCAAGATTATGAAATTCAAAATAATTTTATTTTCTTACATTTTAACATGCTGTAAGGTAATTTTTTAAGCATAGCTCAGATGTGGCACAAGGATGAAAATATGGGGCACCCAGTGAGGATCAAATTCACTATTCAGTTTTAATTGACCTAGCAAGACAAACTTGCTAACCATTACACCACATTGAAGTGTCTTAATGATTTTCTAAGCATAGCTCAGATGTGGCACAAGGCTGAATGTATGGAGCACCCAGTGAGGATTGAACTCACTACTTAGTTGTAATTGATCTGGTGAGATAAGTTTGCTAACCAATACACCACATTGAACTGCCCAAAGAAAACATGTTGTATGAGCATATTTGTTTTGGCTTGTGTTGGGAATCAATTTACAATGAATTTACATAGTATTCAAATTAGCTCTCTTATCAAAACTTGTGGGCCAGATGTGAATGCTACAAAACAAAATTAAAAATAAAAAGTTGCACTCTGCACAGGGTCTCTGAGCATTACATCCTGCTCACAAAACAAATCTCTGCAAAAATATAAAATACAATTTAAGCGTAGGAGCCAATTATGAATATTGCTGCTAAAGCAAAAGCATGACAAAAACAATGTTGAATCATGTATCCACTCTGACTGCTTAAAAGAACACATACATGACACTCAATGCAGTAGGTGATACACAGTCATCAATGATACCACCAGTGGCCTTGGTCAACCAACCCAACACAACCTTCAATACTAGACACTACCAACTTCCTTATCCTCTAGGTCACTTCCCTGACCCACAAAGACTCAGTCTACCTCAACTCTTTATACCAATAATACAAAGAATTTTATTTTAACATATCCTGTCTCCTTTTCTTTTCACATCACTGTTATTACTGTCATTGTCCTTTATGCTCTCATATGCAGTATATAACAATTGCAAGCAGAAGACATATTAACTTTTATAAAATTGAATAAAAATGAACTTTTTTTATGTATTCGTAAGATATGAGTGACTTGACAAAAAATTTGAAAGAAGTGATCATTTCTGGTTCCAGTGCAACAACTCCACCAAAATTTAAGTAAAGAAATGCTTAGTTGATTTTTGGTGTATTTTTAAAATCAAAGCATTTTTTAAAAATTTTCTCATGCAAGTTATTGGTTATTTTTATAGGTAAACAACTTTTCACTAATATCTCAGGTTCTATAATTTTCATATCAGACTCTTCCCTATATTTTTTCTTACTAATGGGGCTATGGCCATAGAGTATTGAAACACCAGTTTCTATATGATCACTGAATTTAAGCAACATCGAGCCTGGCAAGTATCTAGGTATGTGACCACTTGGGAACACCAGCTACTGTAAGCTTGGATGTGCAGGTATGTAATTAATAATGGCTTGGAAATTGTTAATTGGAGAGCTGAGTTCCAATTCCAGTTAGGTTTGTTATATCCATACAAAACACAAGTAATCATGACTTTCCAAGGTTTATTTCCATTAATATTTGTAAACTCTGCTTTAATTAACAGGATTACGGCCACATCACATTGAAACACTGGTTCCTGTACAATCATTGAAGTTAAGTAACTGGATGACTCCTTGGGAATACCAGGTACTGTAAGCTTTGATGTACAGGTGGTGTAATGTATAATGGCACAGAATTTTTTAAAAGCCAAATTCTAATTCCCGTTGAATTCATTATATTCACTAACATACATATACCTTTGGGAAAGGTATGAATCTACCTCTTCCCCCCAGCTATGGGTTAATTAGACTTATACCATTATTATCTAAAAATAAAATCTTACAATCTAAAAATATTTTCTGGTTTTAAATAACCTGCAAAGGATAGTTAAGCCAAAGAAAAAGAATCAATCAAACAATTTGTTTATTAATGGCCTAAAGCTATTTTTATTCCTCAAGTATCAATTTTTTGCTGAATTTTTTTCATTCAGACTTACAAACTAATGACTGCCAGACTTAAGTCACAATTTCAAATTCTCTAAGCTGTTGAATGAGTGATACTTGGATTAGTGAAGTTCAACCAGTACAGACCTATAGTATGAGTCCAGGTTAAAAATATATATTTTCTTTGTTGATTTTTTGGGTGTAGAAGAACATTTTTCGATGCATGGAACAGAAATCAGTAGCAAAAGCATGCAAAGAAACTCTTTGAGGAAATGATTGCCAAATTTCATAAAGAAAGGACAACGCCCATCATTAATGAGATTTGATGAGCAAAACATATGTAAATAAATATTTACCTATATTTGATCTTTGCTTAGTAGGACAAGATCTGTGAGTGTTAATCTTATTTTTACATAAATGATTAGCATCAATATAGAAAAATTTGTTGTGGGATTGTTAATATATTTGGGTAAATATTAGTCACCATTATGTTGCAGGAATCAACACTTTGAATAGTTAATATTTACAGGCTCCTTAAACATTCATCCTGCAAACAATATTGGTGAACCCAATGTGAATCCAGGTGAAAATGAGTAACACAAAACAATAAATATAAAACAAACAACAATGCATCTATTAACAAAAGGAATCACATAGGTAGACAATTGTAACACAAGGAAAAAAACATTAAAACAAGTTATAAGAAGAATATGCTTGTTTGTGCATGCATGATAGATACAGCATGTGAGAGAGTTCAAAAGTCAAAGAAGGATCAAAGAAATGAATACACCTTGTCGGAGGTGTTCCTATCTACGTGCAACTACATCTGAAAGCCAGAACTAAAAAGACCAAAAAGAGGGTGAGTCAGAATATCATTGCATATTTATAGGCTTAAAGAATACCCACTAGCATGCCTTTTGGCACAGTCAAGTGGGATAACCCATAAATCTATAACTTCAGTGTCAAGACTATAGAATAACAGCACAATAACTAAATGAAAAAATTCAAAAAAAGCTTTAATATTGTGTCTTTAACATTGAAAAGACTCAATAATATATCCAACATTCATCAAGCAATAGAACCTCTTCTTGTTGTTAACATCTTATGGACATATCACATGACACTGGTTCTCATATGATTGCAAAGTTAAGCAATATCAAGCCTAGTCAGTACCTAGATGGGTGACTGCTTGGGAATACCAAGAGCTGTAAGTTTGGATGTGCAGGTGGTGTAATAGATAATGGCTCAGAATTGGAAATCAGAGATCCAAGTTCCAATTCCAGTTGAGTTTGTTATATTCACTTACATGCAAATACCCTTGGGAAATATGTGAATCCACCTCTTCTCTCAGCTATATGTTAATTAGTAGGACTTGTATCAGTAAATCAATCTTATCTCTGAAAAATTCATACAATATAAAAATATTTTCTGACTTTAAATAACCTTCAAAAAGCCGTAAAAAACAAATTAATCAGTGGCATTGTGTAGTAGAATGATACTTTTATGCAAATGTCCTGGTCTCTTTCAATCAACAGCTTTCCCCAATCTCTCAAGTGTTTTACAATATCTGACTGCACTGTTTGGACATGCAGTATGAAATCCATGAGCAGAAGGCCTTTTGAATCTAATAACATTTCTTTTCTGACTTACTGTCAAATCATGCTGAAAATCTTGAATTTAAGGCAACATTTTTGGCATCTATTATCATGTATTATCTGTAAAGATTCAATCCTGCAAAGGGGGACACAGGTTCAAATCCAATTAGAAAGCATATTTTTTTTATTAAGTTTTCTCAAGCATGCAGGCAGATGAAATAAACACTGTTTAAAATAAATGCATCTACTGAAATACTAAAAATAATGTTTGAAGAAATAAATGCATCTACTGAAATACTAATGCATGAAGAAATAATAATATGTTAGATTAAAAAATAAAATCCATTAATTCTTAAGAAATTGCTTTGTTTACATTTTGGATATAAAACTGAGCAGATATGGCTTTCAAGAAAATCTGAATGAATAAATGTGCGTTATCACCAATAGAATCATGCTTGACTGTGAAACTCTCTTTAGCTGAGTAGTCAAAACATGCTGAATCAGAAGGTAGTTTCTCCTGCAAAAGGAGACACAGATTAGAATCCTGCCAGAGGACATATTTTCTTGAGTGTAGAAGAAATAGATACTGAGTATTGTAGGGACATTTTTTTTTTTTTTTTTTTTTAAGCATTACGCCCCGAGCAAGGCATGAAGCTACTAGGATGCAGGGGGTTGTGGAAGATTTGGAGCGAGAGCAGATAGGAGTGATAGAAGAAAGGATGAGGAGAAGGATAGTGAGTAGATCAAGGTAACTGGAGGTGTCGATTGACATTACATTTGAATAGTTGGAGATTATAGCTTTCAGGGAAACAGTAATTGGGAAGGGTGTTCCACAGGTGAGAGGTGCGAGGTATGAAGCTATTGGAGTAGAAGAAACAGCTACATTTAAAAAATTTCTATAGTGTAAGGGTGGGGCGCGATGCCAACCTGGTAGGGAGCTTGGAATTCATGGAGTCTGGGAAACAGTGAAAACAGCTCATTGGAGCAATTACCATGAAAGTATTTGTAGAAAAGACAGAGAGAAGCGATGGCATGTCTGTGAGAGAGTGACTGCAGACAGACGCCAGATCAGGGCCAATTGGAATACATATCTGTCTCTGGATCTTGTCAAGAACTCCGAGGTAAAAGCAGAAGGTGCCCCAGACCATATGGCAGTAATACTCCATGCAAGGGCGAATGGTTGTTTTGTATATTTGAAGTATTGATTCAGGGGAAAAATTTCCTGGCGTGGCACAGAGAGCCAACTTTCCTCACGGTGGAAGAAGCAATTGACTCAATGTATTTGTTCCATCTCAGGTCAGCAGTCAACGTGAGACTGAGCAGGCGGGGGAGTTGCTCTCAGGAAGTTGACAATCAGACATTTTAATGGGGGGCAGGGAAGGATCTCTATGGTAGTTAATGGAGAGTAGTTTAGTTTTTGAGGCGTTAAAGTTGACCAGCCAATTCTTGCCCCAGTTAACAACCGATTGGAGGTCCATTTCAAGATGCACGGCCAGGTTAGTTTTGTCACTGACACTAGATTTGTTTTTGAGGTATGAGTAAATTGTAGTGTCATCCACGTAGATGCCAACTTGGGAATCTATGGTGTCAGGAAGGTCATTGATGAAAATAAGGAAAAGAGTGGGGCCAAGGATGGAGCCTTGGGGAACACCTGCGTTCGTGGGATAGGAACTGGAGGAGAATCCGTTGAGAACGACCTTCAATTCTTGGTTTGACAGGAATGATTGTATTAGATCAAACAGTCGACCAGTAATACCATAACCCTGGAGCTATTTAAGAAGGCCGGCATGCAAACCTTATCAAATGCTTTGGAGATGTCTAGGACCCACGGCATGGGCCTCACGTTATTTTGAAGGGCTTGGTAGACAGTTTCAATGATGGCGTAAGCACATCAGCTATGGTCAGGCGTGGTGAAACCGTGTTACTTGTCTGAGAGCAGATCATGGGATGTAAGGTGGTTAACCACTTCAGCATTGATTAGGGCTTGAAGACTTTTGCCAAGAAGGGGGTAGGAGACTAATATACTTCATCCGAGCAGAAAATATTGACTTAGCCGTTGAACCGCTTACACTCGTTATGGGCGGAGGCAAGAGACATCTATTGCAGTCAACATGTCTCTCAAGGAAAATATATGAAAAGAAGTGATTCCTATGGGCAATGGCGGCTGAGCAAGCAGCGGAGAACCAAGGGATGGGAGGTTCTTTGCAGGGTGTGGAGTTGAAGGAAAAGTGAATAAAAAATATGAAATAATAATAATGATGAAAATTATAAATAAAATAAAACTATAACATTTAAACAATAAAACACTCCCAGCATGCAACAAAAACTGTTCCTGCTGGAAATATAGATATCCTGTCAAAAGACATTAAATTCAATCTCTTCACCATGATCCCCTAGGCAGGCAACATATATCCAACCTCTCTCTCTCTGATATGGTGTGTAATAATATAGAGTGACTTCTCCCTTTTATCACATGTACCATAAAACAATTATAACCTAAAAAATGCACATACCAATACACACAAGAAAAATATAAATTGTATGAAATTATCATACAATTTATCATGCTTTGCTTTTATTTCTATACATTTTATCTCCTGTCAAGTATGTTTTTATCTCCATGAACATAAAGCTAATTTTTGCTGCTATGATGTGAGTGACCACCCACATCATTTTTAGTTACCGTCATCCACAGCATATACTCAAATATGTGTTGTAAGCAAAGAATGTTTTGGGAAAATGGGAAATGCCTAACTGATCAATCTCTCAACCAACTACAGGGATAGTAAGGAGAAGGAGACAGGAGGTAACAAAAATGACACTGCTTTGGAAATGACACAAACTTTAGGAACAAAGTGCCCAT